TACTGTACCATCTGGGTTAGATTAGGAAGAAAGTAGGAGTTGAATGTCTTTGGCAAATTGCTGGTACCATGGTCCAAAATGTCTCACTATCCCTGCCACCAATATCAAATATACGTTGAAAGTTGGAATCTTTCAAAAGAGACCTTGAAGGGAAGACGAGAAGTTACGCAGAAACACCTGTCTGAAATAAGAACAGAACCTTTCAAGACTATTCCCATACACTCATGCCTGGTTTCATAGTTAAGGAAACAAAACCTCATGATCAATGGTATTAAATGCTTCTGACTAATCCAAACAATCAGCATGGACGACAACTTCTACAGTCTCTATACCATATCAAGGGCTGCAAATATAATGACAGGGACAGAGGAAATCTGAATGTAACGCCTTATAAAACAGTTATGATCTGCAGGCATTATCTACAGAGTTTACCAGGGCCACAGGTACAGTCTCTCTCTTACTAAATCTGCAGGCCCAACCTGAGGAATTTTCAAAATTACTACTTACTGTTATGGAGCATCACTAACTGACTTCAATGGGAGTTGTGGATATTCAACATCTCTGAAAAATTGTCATTTATTTTATTTAGAGAGGAAGGATAGTCCAGTGATTAGAGCACTAGTCTAGGACTAGGGAGCGCTGTTCTAATGCAAACTTCTTGTGTGACCTTGAGCAAATCACTTAGCCTCTCTATGCCTCCGTCCCCCACCTGTAAAATGGGGATAATAGTACTGCCCTACCTCACAGGGGTGTTGTAAGGATAAATACATAAAGTATTCTGAGGCATTCAGATACTATGGTAATGAAGTCCACGTAAGTATGATAGACAGATATGGATTTAGTTGCCATTGTTTTAGGTACCAGAGTTTGAAAAATCTGACTGTACCATATGCACACTGAGCACACTCAGAAAGGACTTCTCAATCATGTTTAACCTGAGAGAAGCAAGCACATGATCCAACTACATATTAAAAACCAATCAAATTCCATTATTGGCATGAAAGGTTGACATTAATAGAGTTGTGGCCACTTATGGCAGTGATGAATTTGGCCCTAATTGATTGATTGTCTAGATTCTCTCTCTTCCTATGAGAAGTTACTAAACCATATGATTTTGGTTCTAATTGTCTAAGTTGTTGCTGGCTACATACACTGTCTTTCTAATAATTTTGGCAAGGAGTTTTTGGAAAGGTTTCATGGACAAGTCTAAGATTTAATTTTTATTCTATTAAAAGTCAACTTGGCTTGTTTAGTAAAGGTCTTTGTTTAACAGAAGTTATAATTAAAAATAAACACCCCTATGTTCAGATAGCCAAAGAACTATAATGGGTGTGATGCTATCTGTGTGAAAAATTACTTAAACAGAAAAGGCTTCCTGTGGAACTAATAATATGCACAGCCTTCCTGTGGAACTAATAATATGCACAGCCTTCCATACAAGGATCTCAAAGCACTTCACAAACATTAATAAAAAGTTTCACAACATCACTGCAAGGGAGGTATGACAAGAATCACTTCCATTTTACAGATGGAAAATATGAAGCACAGTGAGATTAGGTGACAATGACACAGCAGCAGAGCTGGGATAAAATTACACACCACTGGATTCCCAGTCCCATGATGCTCTAACCCCTAGACAATGCTGCCTCTAGGAACCAAAGTAAGAGATTTTAATATTGTCCCATGGAAAGATATGAAATTAGATGATAAAGTAAGGAGCCTCTAAAGAAATTAGGGTAAATGTGTTTAATCAGTCAAGGATATAAAATGTTCCTATGGCCAAATGTGAAAACTCAATGCTGTGAACGTCAAATACCTCTGCAAGGGCACAAGGACATGTATAACAGAAGTTGCCCCTGTATTACTGAATAATTTACAAGCCTTCTTCTCTATAGCTTTCTAGACAGAGGCTATCCAGTTTATGGGTTGATCACAATATGCAAATATAATGCAACAGCTACAGAACAGATTGCTAAATGCATGGGACAAGAGTGCTATGAGAGACTGGTCTAAAGCAGCGGTTCTCAAACTGTGAGTCGGGACCCCAAAGTAGGTCACAACCCCATTTTAATGGGGTCGCCAGGGCTGGCTTAGACTTGCTAGGCCCCAGGGCTGAAGCCAAAGCCCGAGGTCTTCAGCCCTGGGCAGCAGGGCTCAGGTTACAGGCCCCCTACCTGGGGCTGAAGTCCTTGGGCTTCAGCTTTGGGACCCCTGCCCGGGGTGTTGGAGCTCAGGCTTTGCCCCGGCACCTAGGACAGCAGGGCTTGGGCGGGCTCAGGTTTCGGTCCCCCCCTCCTGGGGTTGTGTAATAATTTTTGTCAGAAGGGGGTTGCAGTGAAATGAAGTTTGAGAACCCCTGGTCTAAAGCATCTTCAGAACATTGCTTTCTAATTGCAAGGCAAAAGGTACACACAATTCAAAGATTTAACCATTAGGAAAGAATTATTTAAGATGTATACTCCAAGTTGCAAAACATTAACTAACAAAATTCAGTGACAGTGATGTTCCAGGTTCTACAATGAAATCAACTGGCTGCCCATTTTATCAAGAGGCGGCAAATATTCTGGTTGGTGGGGTTTACAGAAGTACAAGATGATTAGAAGTGAAAAACTAGAGAATTACTTTATAAAGTGCATATAAAAAGGATTTTCTAATAAAATGTATTCTGTTTATGTCTTCTATGAAAGCTGAATAGATTTTCAATTGAGTTCATCATGAAATTACAGTAAAAAAGAAAATAAAACAAGAAAATTCTACCAAATAGGATGACAAAGGCAGATCTAGTGCACACACGGTCAGGTGAGATTTTAGGGATTTAGCTTGAAGATAAAATAGACCACAGCATCAGAGCAAAGACTATATGTGGGATGAGCACAGAAGTGACTGCAAAGAGTTAAGCTACCAAGATGGTTTGCAAACAATTTTTGCTGTCTTGTAACTCTTCAAAACTATTTTGTCTACAGAAACATTACAACAGTAACATCTTTTCTCCATTCTATTCCTCCCCCCCCTTTTTTTTTTAAAAACAGAAATTTGTTTTCAAAGACTTTACAACAATATACAGGTAGATAAATAATATGCCTACTTCACAAGTCTTCTCTCAGTTATTATAGGTAAACAAAAAAACATTGTTCATAGCAAATTCACATATTTATCATGACACACATTCTTAAGCAGTACATGGGTTAAAATACAGACTATTGAAGGTAAGAAGTGAGTAAAACAGAGACAAATGGGTTGAACAGTTTTTGGAGATGACCAGGGTGAGTTGAAGCATCTCAGTAGTAATTCTAAACAGAGGAATTCTGAGACACAATGGGGTGGAATGGAAAGTGCACTCATTTGCATGCCCATATTCAGAATGCTTCTAACCTGCAGCAAGTCAAAAGGAGCATGTTACAAAAATATGCTTTCTTCACACTCTCCCCGCCAAAAAAATATTTACTGTTAATTTAGTGCTGGTGAAAGGTACCAGACTGATAGCTCTAATAGCTCTGATGACTGAAGTCCCCTCTATTCACAGAACAGATACAACACATGGAATGGAAAAGGTTGCTCCACTGCCAAAGTGCCTCAACCCATAACCGCAGTGACAATCTCCATGCCAACACAATCCTTGGCATCTCTAATAAGATGTCAAAAAGAGTGCCACTTAGTGCCAACGGTATGGTGATATGGACACTACCATTAGCATCACTGGACACAGATCTGTTCATTAGGGACTGAACAGAGACCACTAGTTTATTTTATTTATTTATTTTTATTTTTTTGCTAGCTAATTCCTTTATTGTCAAGTTGTCAACTCCAATGCAGGGTTTGTAAAGCCAGAATACCAAACAGTATAGTGTGTAAAACAAAATATATTATAGGTGGAGTAGTCCTGATATTACTTTACTTAACGTCAGCTTGCATTAATGAGATGCATTCAGCATGAATCTAGTGCTCAGAAAAGGCCTCAAAATGCAATTAACTTGGCATTTCTAGCCACAGTCTGCACAGAAGTGCGCCCCACTAATATGCAAGATTGACTCAACTTATTTAAAGGGGAAAAACCTGATAAAGAAGGGGTTAAGATGCTAGCCTAGAAGCTTTTTACACTGTCATATGGCACAGACGGGTTTCTAAGCAGGCGCGGACTCTTGCTTCCCGAGTCACTGGAGTTTGGCCATGATGTAAACAAAAGGCCTGATCCTAAGCTTCAAGTCACCTCCGTTTGTTATTTTGTACATAGAAGAGACAATAATTTAAGGATTATAGACTATATAAGTGTAGCAGTTGGGATTACAATAAAAGCTGATCTCATTATGGTCTTTCACGTTGCAGACAGATGTCTTATACAAACAATAGGTTGCACACCTATTTGTGGGTCCCAAATTATGTGTAGGAGGAGACGACTGAACTTTATAATTGTTAAAGATGAATTAATTTCAGTTTGAAGTGTATGTGATGGTGGTAGCAGGAGAACTGGTGTCTGATCACTTGTTTTTGAATGAACAACTCTTTCTGGTGACTCCTCCCATTTTTGTTCAAACATTCCCAGATATGAGGCCACACACGTAACACAGGCAAAAATCTGTTGAACAACAGATCTTTCATTTCTTTATGGGACACCTACTAACTATTATGACAACACCTGCAAATGACATTCTACTTCTTTACCGACAATGACCTGAGAAAATATTGACCAGATTCTAATCTATGTTTGAAGCAAGAAAAATAAATCAAATAGTTAATTTGTCCAGCCAAGTTTTTATAATCCTCAGTTATGAAAGGAAACCAAGAATTTCAGAGTGGCTAACAAGAAACACCCCTGCTGAGTACATTAGGCTGCTTAGTTTGTTGAAACAATAATCTGGCTACCACTGTACACAGATAGTGTATTTGAATCTTTTTACCTGGTGGAGGTGTAAGTCTTCACAAATTAGAAAGTATATATCATACAGTCATGTTAATTTTCTATTTTTGAGTCATTTTCTAGATCAGAAAATTACAGCACTTACCATTTTACTAAAACTTCAATAGTTTCTCAAAGATATTGTAAGGACAGCAAGATTTCTTTAGCCCTGAAAGATTCAATATGCAGTTATCTGGTATCTCATTCTGCAATAAAATTCAGTAAAAATAAAGCATTTAAAACAAGATACATTTGGGTACTTAATGACAGTAAGTTCTAACCATAAACAAATATTGTTTATTCTATCTATTTCATGCACAAATACATATGTTCCCAATAACGACATGGGTTAATAGAGGAAAAATCTCTTTGACCTCTAGCAGTGGTATACAGGAGTCCTTTCCCAGTTCCCAAAATACACAGAAGAACGGAAAGATGAGAAGTATGAGAAATCTTATCATAAAACCAATGTTATTATATCGTAATGTCAGAACAGAGAAGTCTATAAAATTATTGATGTAAAAGATTTTTTTATTTCTACACCATAAAAATAGAACAGAGCAACAATAGAATTCCCCGGTTAAAAGAAAGCACAATTTACCTTAAAGTCAACCACAATCCTTAGTGAAGGAAAGGCCTGTACTCAAATAAATCCTGATGTGAAGAAAACTGTAGTGTCTTCTCTATGAAGGACAGCAGAATAAACTTGGGGCTTGATCATACAAATAGTCCCTGGAATAAATCCCAACTACTCTGAGTAACCCCACTGACATCTGTTGGACTACTATTTCTGTATTAAGCACTACATTTGGCAAGAAGTGTTTTCAGAACACCTCAGTATCATTTAAAAACAAAGGATACAAAATCGCACAGTAAAACTATATTTGCGGACAGCAGTGAATACTTTCTCTAAGAAAACAGAACTCTTTATGATCAGTAAACCTCTTACTAATCACTCAATTAAAAACATAAAAGCCTCATTCAAAAATGGATTGAGAACTTACACATCGCTCAGCTGAACAGATTTTTTTCCCCTAAGAGTCAGTGAAGATTAACATGGTACTCAACTGCAGTTGCAGAAGCAGGGCCTAAATCAACTATTTGGTTGGAGATGTCAAAGGGTCAAGGAATTCCAAATGTCAAAAGCACTGGTGCAACCCCCAAAATGTAGTATTTTGTTTCTGGGGCTTGAAAAATTTACTCACCAGTGACCAATAAGGTACTTTCCCTGGCAAGGGGTTGGTGGGGAAAAGTTTACGCCATCAGTTTCTCCAGAAAGTAAGCTCATTTAAAAAAATAGTTGCTAGACCTTATAGTTGTGAAGATACCTTCCAATCGTGAATGACATGTAAACCAATTCAATCCTGAGTATGCAGATAGCTATCTCCATTGTCAATGTTGCTGCTTAGAGCTTTTTCACAGCAACAGCCCAGTGAAAATGACCATTATGTGAAGTTTCACAGTTGCTAGTCAAAACCTGGTGGACAGGGCAGTAGTGTAAGTGACAAGTATCATGTCAAGTTCATTCTGTTAGGCACAGAAGCAGAGGCACGCACTGGACCTATCAGGGCTGCCTGGGGGGGGGCAAGTGGGGCAATTTGCCCCAGCCCCCGGACCCCGCAGGGGCCCCGTGAGCCCTGGCCCGGCGGCGGTCCGGGTCTTCGGCAGCGGGTCCTTCAGTGCTGCCAAAGACGCGGAACGACTGAAGGGCCCTCCGCCACCAAAAACCCGGACCGCCGTCGGGTGACTACAAATGCCGCAGCTCCCCCACTTTGCCCCAGGCCCCTGAATCCTCTGGACGGCCCTGGGACCTATTCACAAGTACCAGAAGCCCATTCACCTATGACTCCGGAGACTTGGAGGTAGAGCACATCACTTCAAATTAATCAAATACCTGCTAAAATAAGCCTTCCTATTTAATCTTCAGCTTCATCCGCTGACCTCCAGCAGAACTCCTAAATTATAAGGGAAGCAATATATAATTAATATCTTAGTTTAGGAGGTTGAGCAACCATTGGTATTGTTTTCATTACTCACATTGTGCTGCAGTAAGATCACATTAATACGTATGACCGTCTCTCCCATTGCTCTATAAGTTACATGGCTTCAGACCCATTCAAACACCAATAAATAAATACATGAAAATCAGACATCAGGTGAATTTCAAGCATCGACTGTTAAGCAGCCTATGGACCCCCGCGCGCGCCGGGCGCCACTGCCCAGAGCAGCGCAGCTACCCCGCTCGCTCCCATCCGAACAGCCACCCGCCGGGGTCCTCACTCAGAGCAGGACGCGGCCCCCGGCGCGGCGCGGTGTTTACACCCTCCCCAGAGGGCGGCACTGGCAGCAGGGTGCGCGCCAGGAGAGGCGGCATCTCAGGGCCACCCCCGCCGCGCTGCCCCCAGGCTCCGCGCCGTCCCGCGGGCTGGTGCGAGAGCCTCCGCCCCGCTCCACGTCGCCTCCGCATCGACCCTCCTCCCCCGGTCCGCCCCATGACCCGGCCCCGCATCTCCCCGCCGCAGAGCCGCGGCCACCCGGGCCCCGCAGCCGCACCCTTCGCCTCTGCTCGTTCCCGGGTCACCCTCCCCCCCCCGGGGGTCCCGCAGCGACGGACCCGGCTCCGCGCGGGCAGGGGGAGGGGTGGCAGGCAGAGGAGCCTCCATCTCCTACCTAGGTGCCCGGCTGCCCCCGCAGGGGTCCGGGCGGGCATGGCCGGCGCTGGGCGAGGGGTCCCTGGCGGGCACGACCTGACCTCCGTAGGCAACGCTGCAGACTCCCGGCAACGCAGGGCTGGCACCATAGAGAGGAGGAGACTTGACGGCCCAAAATCATAGAGCGGGGACGCTAGAGAGACTGGGACCGTGTACCGCCTCCCGCTAGCGGAAGCGGAAGTGACGTATCCCGGGCGCTTGCGCCCTGCCCTGTGTTTACTGGCCGGGAAGGTCACCCACGTGGGATTGCGGGTCGGAGCCGGTGCGCGGAGATGCTGGGCGCGTTGCAGTCTCCGGGGCTGGCGGCTCTGGGGGTCGCGGCCGCCGCGCTCAGGCCCTTGCTGTGTGGCCTCCCCGGCTGCCGAGCTCCCCGGCGCGGCCTGGGCCAGGAGCCGCGGCAGCACCCGGACTCCCGGCTCCAGCTGCGGCTCCCGGAGGCGGCCGAGGCGGCGCGGATGGTCCTGGAGAGGGCACGGCCCTCCCCGCCGCTGCGCAGGTTCATCGCCTGCCCCGACCTGGCCCGCGCCGTGCACGCGAGCCTGGAGTGTGGCCCGGCCCGTGGCCCCGAGCCCGTCGTCCTGGAGTGCGAGCCGGGTAAGCGCCCGGCCGGGCCCCGCGGCCCTGCAGCGCCGCACACGGACCCGCTGCGCCGCGGCTGGTGCCGATGGGACCCTACTGTCCCAGCTGGAGGGGCGGCTGGGGTCGCTGAGGAGGAGGCTGGGAAACGCAGCTTGTCTAAGTACTGCTTAAAAACCTGTCAGCGTCTGCGGCAGGCAGGCTGGGTTTGAACCTTTAAAATGTGTCGGCTGGGCCTCGTCAGCTCTGGAGGAGCCACCTCGAGACAGGGCCCCAGCCTGGCAGGGAAAGCCAAGGGGTTAGTCTGGGAACGGGGCAACTGCGCTCCAGCTCTTTTATTGTTAGGGCCCTGACCGCATCTGATGCTGGGTAGGAGCCGCTGTGTTAAGGGGACAGTTGGACTTGGTGGCTCATGGTCATGGGGGATTAGATGAAGGGAAACCTTGTAAATGTTCACACGTAAATACGAACTTAATATTTTGGAAGGACCTAATCAAAACGACATAAAATATAATGCTGGGAATAAAGAGTGAAGTAGTGGGTCTTGTCCAGTGTCTTCAGAATTGGTCTAATATTCTGGGGCTAGGTTGGCAGTCTGCACAGCCTGAAAATTCAGTGCATAGAACATCTACTGCATGTCTCTGCAAAATTGGCTTTAAGCTCTGGTACTTGAAGAGGGATAGTGAGTATAAAGAAATTATCAGACTTCATTAGTAGTAGTTTTAATGCTAGAAAGCTCGGTTTCAGTAATGTGACAATATCTTGCATCGTTGCTGGAAGGTTGTGACTCACAGCTTCAAGCTCTACACCATGATATGGGCTCATATTAAGTGCTGACACTGCAGTGCAATAGTGGGGTGCTGTGTCCTAATGGTTGTTCTTTGCATGTGATGTTAAAATCAGGTCCTGCCTGCTCTGTCTATCTGGAGCCCTTATGGAAATAAGTTAGTGCCTGATGCTGCCCCACTGATGTGAAAGGGAGCTTTACCATTGGCTTTGCTGGCATTACCTTTCCCTGTTCTGCACATTTTCTAAATATTTCAAACCAAACTCAGAACAGAGTATCTAAAGTGTAGGGCTGATGGCATTACCACATGGAGGAAAGCGTTGAAAGGTTAGGGATTGCTGTTGCCTCATTAGTTATTTTCCCTCACCAGTCCATTTAATAAAAGAAAAAGTAATTTTGAATATGCATAAACAGTTAAATGCAATTAATTTTGATTCAGTTATTATTTTGGTATTTTGGTTGCCTGTAAGCCAGGGATTGGCAACCTTTGGCACGCGGCTCGCCAGGCTAAGCCCCCTGGTGGGCCGGACCGGTTTGCTTACCTGCCGCGTCCGCAGGTTTGGCCAATTGCGGCTCCCACTGGCCGTGGTTCGCTGCTCCAGGCCTATGCTACATTTCATCATAGAAACGTTTTTGACTGAAATACATAACACCTTTTATTTCAAAAACTTTGTCTTATCACAAGTCTAGCAAATATGGTCTTAGTGTATCCACACTGCCTTTTTCTTCACATTACAACCACACAGTTCTCAGTTGCTGCTCAGCTGCTAAACAGTAGTAATGCAGATCATGACTGAAGGTCCATTTAGACTGTCAGAGCTTGAAGAAAAAATTGTAGAACAACTGTAGAGATCTCGAGAAATTTGGGAGATCGTGTCTGACTACTGTCTAAAGGTCTTATGCTGCAAAAAATTGCACACATGCTTAACTTTACTCACATGTTTCAGACTTAGGGCATAATTCTTTATCTAACCTCCCCCCACCCCCCTTCCCCCCCCCCCCCCCCCCCCAATATTTAGGTAAACTTATTTTTCTCCTTCTTGAAAGGCGTGTGTATCATTATGTCCTTTGGGAGTCGATTTTAAATGATAGAGCTAAACAATGATGATTTTTCCAGGTCCTGGATTCTTGACCCGGACACTACTCAATGCAGGTGCCCGAGTGGTAGCTCTGGAGAGTGACAGAGCTTTCCTTCCAGATTTACAGGTATGTTTTTTTTGTAAGGGTATCCGAAATTTGCAATGAGATAGGAAAATGAGAAATTAAATTAAAATCACACATCTGTTTGAATTTTTTTTACCTGTTACAAGTAACACCTAAGATAGATATAAGTTAAAGATAGTAGGAAAACATATTTTTCTTTTTTTAATTTGTTTACTTTGCACATTTGACAGCACTTTGCCTTTTACTGTTTCTCGTATATAGCCAGTCAGTTTCTCCTATTTGTGCAGGATATCAGGTTGAGGTCTCTCTAAACAGGGACGTACATAGATTTGTGGCTAATAGTCACCTAAATGATCTTGACTGTGTTTTTAAGCAAGATGTTTTCATGTGGCCTTCAGAAGCTTCTACAAATATTCTTAGCTACTTTCAGTGATTATTTTACCTGATTAAACTTTTGTCCTGGATCCTGCAGTTGACTCCAGGCATGTAGACTCTTGGGCCCATGATTTTAGTGGGGCTTTGCATGGACCTGGAGGTCTACAGATTTGGAGCTTTTTTTGCTGTTTCGGAGAGACTGAGATTTGGGAGCCAAGATTCCTGCTTGTTTCCAGCTCAGCTATCGACTTGGCATGAGCAACTTACTCAATTTCTTTGTGTATATTCATTTTTAGTTGTTGTTTTTCATCTAGGTGTTAAGAGACTTAATTTACAATTACAAATTGCTGTGGGCTCTTCAGATGAATATGGCTAATCAAATGTTTTTAAAAACTTACCAAAAGTTACACAAGTTTAATAGTGCATTCTAAAGTTCCAGTTGAGCAAATGCTAAATATGTAAAAAATACATCTGCCTTGCATCATAAAAGTAGCTGGCCTATATGCAACATTTCAGTAGCTGGCTCTGTGAGCGATGTTTGTTATTTTTAACTAGTATTTACAGAACCTGTTTATTTTAAAGATAATTCATTGAGGTGTTTTATTTTCGGATGGAAAAATACATAGGATGTGTCCAAATTGTTGGTAGTGAAAACTTACATTTTAACTTCACCATTGCTTTCAGTCTCTGGAGAACAGCCTACATGGACAATTAGAAGTTGTTTATTGTGACTTCTTCAGATTGGACCCTTTGGGCTGTGGATCTATGAAACCACCTGCTATGTACTCTGAGAAACTTTTTGAAAATTTGGGCATCTTGGCAGTTCCTTGGACAGCAGGTAAATTGAAAATCAACCTAAAATTGGGGGTACGTAATTGAGGCCTCAGAGGCAGTTTGGCAGGTGCTTGCTTAATTTTGTATAAAGCGGATTGGAGTAATCTATCTATCTTCTTTAATACAGAGATATAACTCATAGATACTACATGCCCAGTAGGTAATCCTCAATTTTACTTAAGTAGTCTGGCATTTTAGTAAGAGGTAAAACTGTGTATGGTGGGATATGTAGTTTCAATTGTTTACACCTCTTTAATGAAGATTCAGACAGACACAAACTGCATTCAGTGGTGGGCCATACTGTAAACCATACCTGAGCAACAACACAAAATCTGTAAATACATTCAGGTTAAAATAATGCTTGCTCTCGTGTTTGTAACTTACACTTCAGTTTTGTTGAGGTTGTGCAGTACATATTTGAAAATTCAAAGATACCTTTGCTCATTTTCAAAACAGATGTTCCTGTAAAAATTATTGGATTCCTTCCCCAAAAAAAGGAAAGAAACACTCTTTGGAAGCTTATCTTTGTCATGTATGAACGCAGTTCCATATACAGATATGGAAGAATAGAACTGAACATGTTTGTTAGTGAAAAAGAGTACAAGGTATGTTTAAGTACAAAAGATTTCACTGATTAATAAAGAGAAGCTGATGCTTCATTGAAAACTCTAGAACATTCTGTTTAGAGGCATTTTGTCCATGTGTTGCTTTAAAAATGTTCTTCCTTTTATTTACTTAAGGATATTTTTCTAACAAAAGGGAGAGAGAGGCTGTCTCTCTGCTGCTTGCTCCTCCTGAAGAAAGTTTGTCTGTAATAACACAGTTTGTTTTAAAGGAAATGAGTGTCACAAATTAGAGTGCTCTTCATGTGAGGGACAGTCAGTAGAAGTAGATATATTGAAGATATGCTAGTGCCTGATGGAAAACCAACACTTCTGTTGTATATTTTTTAATGCGATAACAGTAGTTCCCAGATGTTTTCATGCTGTGACTCCCTTTAGGATCACCTCTGTTGATGCAGCTCCCTCCCCTGGTGCTTAGTATTTAGATTGGCTTTGCACAAATGAACACTCTATCTTAACAGTCTACTTTGAAAACTATCGGGGAGTGGGGTTGACTACCAGAACAAAAGAAAGGGATGGGCAACTGGTGGCCCTGGGGCCACATCCAGCCTGGCATCATTTTATTTGGCCTGCCACCCTCTGTGCTGGAAGAGAGGGATCTAGTGAAGCCCCCTCTCGCCAAAGTCTTAGCAATTGCCCAAAGTTCTATAAGTCACAGGGCGAGAACTGGGGAGCGTGGCCCAACGCCTTTTAAGCCAGTGGTTCTCAAACTTTTGTACTGGTGACCCCTTTCACATAGCAAGCCTCTGTGTGCAACCCCCCTTTTAAATTAAAAACACTTCTTTACATATTTAACACAGTTATAAATGCTGGAGG